TAAATTAATCACCAGTAGATTTTCTTAGAACACACAAAAACAGTGTGAGAGGAGCATATGCCTTGCTTTCTAACTTCAGACTTACTCCTAATTATATAGATGGTGAAATACTAAAGAAACTGTTAATGACTATTGTGAGACCAAAATTGGAATATGCTGCAGTTGTATGGTGACCAAATCTGAATAAGCACATAAATAAACTGAAAAAGGTGCAAAATCATGCTACAAAAAGGCTTCCGGAACTGAAAAACAAGATTTACAAGGAGAGACTATAGGCATTAAACATGCCAAAAATAGAAGATAGAAGAAAAGGAGGTGATATAATCATCACTTACAAAATACTAACAGGAATCGACTAAATTTACAAAGAGGAATTCCTGAAACCAGCAACTTCATGAACAAGAGAAAATAGATTCAAGGAAACAAAGGTGCCAAAAAAATATTATAAAGTTTTCTTTTGCAAGCAGAGTGGTAGACGGTTGGAACAAGTTAAGTGAGAAGGCGATGGAGGTCAAAACCGTCAGTAGTGTTTAAAGTGTTATATGACAAAGAGTACCGGAAAGGCGGGACACCATGAGCGTAGCTCTCATCCTGTAACTACTCTTAGGTAACTACACACAAACACAAACACACACACACACACACACACACACACACACACACACACACACACACACACACATATAGTAAAAATTAACCCATTACAATGTTTTTATAGAGAGGTTTTATAGAGAGGTAAACCCATTACAATGTTTTTATAGAGAGGTTTATGACGAAAGATGAGCAAATAGCCCACAAGAATAGATGGCAACAACGACACCGAACTAGCCTCTCAGGTAGTCTCACCTCCCAGGTCACATCCCAGGTCACCTCCCAGGCCACCTCCCAGGTCACCTCCCAGGTCGCATCCTCACCAACTCAGCCCTCCTATACCTCCCCCCTGCCTCAGCCTCCCAAAACCCCCCTGTCCCTTCCACATTTGCACCTCCCCAACGATTCCCCTGCCCCTGCTACATCACACCTGTCAACGACCCCAGTGGGTCAAGCCATGCCCTCCCCAAACCCATCTTCCCATCCCCCCTCCCCAACTACCCCTTCCTACTCCCCTGCCCCTTCTACCCCATTGACTTCAATTCCATCTACTCCATCCCAGCTTCCACTGCACCCCTCTTCCACTCACCCCCAAACCCCACCCAACCCTCACCCCTCCTATGCACCTCCAGCCCACACTTAACCCCCTCACCTTGTGACCCCCTACCACCTTCCCCCATCTCCCTCTTCCCCTCTTCTACCCCAAAACCCCCACCTACCCCCGATTCCCCCCTAACTAATATACCCTCTCTTCCACTCCCAGCACCCATGCTCCATTCTCATCTGAGCCCTCCGCCCTCAGTATCCCTCTCCCCCCAACCTCTCAACCTCTATCTGACTCTCAGTCTCACTATTTCTCAACCCCCCTATGCTATTCAGACCCCTAACTTTCAGACCCATTATGCCCTTCCTACCCCCCTAGATGCCCAGACCCCATTCGCCTACCAGGCACTCCCAGGCACCCCCCTAGCACCCCCACTCACCCCCACAGCCCCCACTTGCCCCCCCAGACACCCCCCAGTTCCCCCCAGACCCCTGGTGAAAGGGGGAACTCTGACACCCGAGTTTCCAAGAAGAGTCTCAAGGTTTGGTACACCAATGCTGATGGGGTAGCCAATAAAGCAGAAGAGATAAAAGAAAGAGTTAGTGAGGCAGACCCAGACATAGTGGCAATAGTGGAAACTAAAATAAATGGCATGATCTCGGATGCAATCTTTCCAGAGGGGTACCAGGTGATAAGAAAAGAAAGGACACAGAGACAGGGAGGAGGAGTGGCACTACTAATAAAGCGGAAATGGAAGTTTGATGAGCTGGAAAATCCGGGTACCAATGAAAGCACGAGCTTCATACATGGAACTCTGACAGTGGATGGGAAGAAGATTGTAATCTTGATACTCTACAATCCCCCACCAAACAGTAGAAGGCCCAGGCAGGAGTACGAGGACAGCAACAAGACATGTATAGATGAACTGCAGAGGGCAGCAACTTTAGCGCATAGAATGAGAGCGAAGCTGCTGGTCATGGGGGACCTAAATCACGGAGAGATAGATTGGGAATCGAGGAATCCCCATGGCGGGGAGGAGACCTGGGGAGCGAAGCTGGTAGACGTTATTGACAGGAATTTCCTAACACAGCATGTGAAAGAAGATACTAGGGAAAGAGGAGGGGATACGCCCAGCCTATTAGATCTCATTTTCACTCAGAATGTAGAAGACATCGAGCAGTTGGAACATGAAATACCACTAGGAGCTAGTGACCATTGTGTCCTATTCTTTGACTACATGATGGAGCTTAAAATTGTGACCAAAGGACAAGAGGTCCGGGAAAGGAGACTTGATTACAGAAATGGGACTACAGAAGGATAAGGGACTACCTGGGAGAAGTGCAGTGGGAGGAAGAACTTAGAGGAAAAACAGTGCAAGGTATGATGAACCAAGTCATATTGAAATGCAAGGAGGCTGAAGAGAGATTTATTCCAACAATAAAGGAAAAAAGCAGGAGGGAATATAATAACCCATGGTTTAATAGACAGTGTCAGGAAGCAAAGGTGAGAAGCAGGAGGGAGTGGAGGAAGTACAGAAGACAAAGGACAGAGGACAACAGGATTAGATGTAACAGAGCTAGGAATGATTACATTAACATAAGACGAGTGTCGGAAAGAAATTATGAGAATGATATTGCAGTCAAAGCAAAAAAAGCAACCAAAATTACTACATAGCCATATAAGAAGGAAGATGTCGGTAAATGACCAAGTGACAAGACTGAGGAAAACAGAAGGGGCATATACAGAAAGCGACAAGGAAATCTGCGAGGTACTGAATGCAAAATTCCATGGAGTGTTCACAACCGAGCCTGAGCAGCTCCCATTGTTAGAAGAGATTACCCAAGATGAAAGACTATCAGATATAGAGGTGACAGCAGAGGATGTAATGAAACAGTTGACAACACTGGATGCAAATAAAGCTGTTGGACCAGACAAAGTATCACCGTGGATACTTAAAGAGGCAGCGCAGGCTCTCAGCGTGCCTCTGGCAATGATCTTTAATGAGTCACTTATGTCGGGAGAATTGCCCAGTTGCTGGAAGGAGGCAAATGTCGTACCGATTTTCAAAAAAGGTGATAGGGAGGAGGCACTTAACTACAGACCCGTATCACTGACAAGCATCCCCTGCAAAATACTTGAAAGAATAATTAGGCTAAGACTTGTTGAGCACCTGGAGAGCATTGGGTTTGTAAACAAGCACCAACATGGGTTCTGGACAGGGAAATCATGCCTAACAAACCTTTTAGAATTCTATGATAAAGTAACAAGGATAAGGCAGGACAGAGAAGGCTGGGCAGACTGCATATTTCTGGACTGCCAAAAGGCCTTTGATACGGTACCGCACATGAGACTGCTATACAAACTTGAGAGGCAGGCAGGAGTAAGCGGAAAGGCCCTAGTATGGGTGAAGAACTACCTAACAGGAAGGAGCCAGAGGGTAATGGTAAGGGGCGAAAAGTCGGACTGGCGAACAGTAACAAGTGGAGTACCTCAAGGATCGGTGCTGGGACCAATCCTCTTTCTAATTTACGTAAATGATATGTTTACAGGAGTGGAATCATACATGTCAATGTTTGCGGATGACGCAAAATTAATGAGATGAGTTGTGACAGACGAGGATTGTAGGATCCTCCAAGAGGACTTAAACAGGCTGCAGAGATGGTCAGGGAAATGGCTACTGGAGTTTAACACCAGTAAATGTAAAGTTATGGAAATGGGATCAGGTAACAGGAGACCAAAGGGACAGTACACAATGAAGGGGAACAGCCTACCTGTAACGATTCGAGAAAGAGACCTGGGAGTGGATGTGACACCTAATCTAACTCCTGAGGCACATATAAATAGGATAACGACAGCAGCGTACTCTACACTGGCGAAAATTAGAACTTCATTCAGAAACCTAAATGAGGAGGCTTTTAGGGCGCTTTACACTGCCTACGTGAGACCCGTCTTAGAGTATGCCGCGCCATCATGGAGCCCCCACCTGAAGAAACACAAAGAAACTGGTGAAGGTTCAGAGGTTTGCGACGAGGCTTGTCCAAGAGTTACGAGGGATGGGATATGAAGAGCGGCTGAAGGAACTGAACCTTACGACACTAGAGAAAAGAAGGGAGAGAGGAGATATGATAGGGACATAAAATACTCAGGGGAATTGACAAAGCGGAAATAGATGAAATGTTCACACGTAATAATAACAGAACGAGGGGACATGGGTGGAAACTGGAAACTCAGATGAGTCACAGAGACGTTAGGAAGTTTTCTTTTAGCGTGAGAGTAGTGGAAAAATGGAATGCACTTGGGGAACAGGTTTTGGAAGCAAATACTATTCATACTTTTAAAACTAGGTATGATAGGGAAATGGGACAGGAGTCATTGCTGTAAACAACCGATAGCTAGAAAGGCGGGATCCAAGAGTCAGTGCTTGATCCTGCAAGCACAAATAGGTGAGTACACACACACAATGGTTCAACGGTTTCAGGACATTGCAGCTGAGTGTATATTTACCTAATTCACCTCATATGAGGTGAATTATGTGAGTACACACACACAGGAAGCAGCCTGTAACAGCTGTCTAACTCCCAGGTACCTATTTACTGTTAGGTGAACAGAGGTATCATGGTGTAAGAAATGCCCATTTCTTATTTCTTCCAACAGATGATGTATGTGTGTGTGTGTGTGTGTGTGTGTGTGTGTGTGTGTGTGTGTGTGTGTGTGTGTGTGTGTGTGTGTGTGTGTGTGTGTGAGAGAGAGAGAAATTATCATTGATCGACAGTTGAGAGGAGGGCCGAAAGAGCAGAGCTCAACCCCCGCGAGCACAACTAGGTGAATACATATGATACATTATCAACATCAAACTTTGACTCACGAGAGGAAGTCAGGTGAGAGAAGCAGGTCGTCTTCGAGGATGATGGCTTTGTCCACCTCGGGGAAGTAATTGAAGACGTTGTGGACGGAGAACCTGCTCGAGCAGCAGCACCAAGCGGGCGGTGAAGGTGCCGGGAAAAAAAGGAGGACAGTGTCAAGGATGATAACAGTTGCAGGCCAGCTACGAGTGACTTGGTCGCCCTTAGCATACACGGGTATTACCAGGAATATATTAATAAATTGGTTGGAATAGGAACATAAGAATGGAAAGGGAGATGTAACCGTTCCTGGATGGTCCCAGTTCAACGAAACCCCAGAAGCTAAAGGTAGTCTCGAGAAGCCACAGGGGAACCTGAGTAGCTCAAGGTAGTCTCGAGCAACCACAGGGGAGCCTGAGTAGCTCAAGGTAGTCTCGAGAAGCCACAGGGGAACCTGAGTAGCTCAAGGTAGTCTCGAGCAACCACAGGGGAGCCTGAGTAGCTCAAGGTAGTCTCGAGAAGCCACAGGGGAACCTGAGTAGCTCAAGGTAGTCTCGAGCAACCACAGGGGAACCTGAGTAGCTCAAGAAGGTGAGCTACCTTCTTGTGGCTTCTCGAGAAGCCACAGGGGAGCCTGAGTAGCTCAAGGTAGTCTCGAGAAGCCACAGGGGAACCTGAGTAGCTCAAGGTAGTCTCGAGAAGCCACAGGGGAACCTGAGTAGCTCAAGGTAGTCTCGAGAAGCCACAGGGGAACCTGAGTAGCTCAAGGTAGTCTCGAGCAACCACAGGGGAGCCTGAGTAGCTCAAGGTAGTCTCGAGAAGCCACAGGGGAACCTGAGTAGCTCAAGGTAGTCTCGAGCAACCACAGGGGAACCTGAGTAGCTCAAGAAGGTGAGCTACCTTCTTGTGGCTTCTCGAGAAGCCACAGGGGAGCCTGAGTATCTTGAGGTTATCTTGAGATGATTTCGGGGCTTTAGTGTCCCCGCAGCCCGGTCCTCGACTAGGCCTCCACCCCCAGGAAGCAGCCCGTGACAGCTGACTAACACCCAGGTACCTATTTTACTGCTAGGTAACATGGGCATAGGGTGAAAGAAACTCTGCCCATTGTTTCTCGCCTGCGCCCGGGATCGACCCCGGGACCACAGGATCACAAGTACAGTGTGCTGTCCGCTCGGCCGACCAGCTCCACTGAGTAGCCTGAGCTACTCTGAGCTACTTGAGCCTGAGTAGCTCAAGGTAACCCCTAATAACTACAAGAAACTCTGAGTCTGTAGTTATCTGTAGTAATACGGGCTTCTATGTAGTTATTGAATTCTGTTGTGAAGTTAGCAATACATTGCTCGGGTGCCAGCCTGTTGCCAAATGGCGAATTTTAATCACTGTGATCATTCCATAATTTTGCATATATCGGTCAGTAAAAGCGTGGAAAGGGAAGGGAATTATCAGGGAAAGTGCAAAACCATTATGACTATAAAGCACTTGGAAGGGGTTACTAGGATAAAGATTTAGGATGGGACGGAGGCTAAGGAATGGAGCCCAACCACTTGGACGGTCGGGGATTGAACGCTGACCTGCATGGAGCGAGACCGTCGCTCTACCCTCCAAGGGAGAGGTGGCTCACAGGTAGGTGGCTCAGGGAGAGGGGGCTCAGGGAGGGGGGGCTCAGGGAGAGGTGGCTCGGAGAGAGGTGGCTCGGGGAGAGGTGGCTCGGGGAGAGGGGGCTCGGGGAGAGGGGGCTCAGGGAGAGGGGGCTCAGGGAGAGGTGGCTCAGGGAGAGGGGGCTCGGGGAGAGGGGGCTCGGGGAGAGGGGGCTCGGGGAGAGGTGGCTCAGGGAGAGGTGGCTCAGGGAGAGGGGGCTCAGGGAGAGGGGGCTCAGGGAGAGGGGGCTCGGGGAGAGGGGGCTCAGGGAGAGGTGGCTCAGGGAGAGGGGGCTCAGGGAGAGGCGGCTCAGGGAGAGGGGGCTCAGGGAGAGGGGGCTCGGGGAGAGGGGGCTCGGGGAGAGGGGGCTCGGGGAGAGGGGGCTCGGGGAGAGGGGGCTCGGGGAGAGGGGGCTCAGGGAGAGGGGGCTCAGGGAGAGGGGGCTCAGGGAGAGGGGGCTCGGGGAGAGGAGGCTCGGGGAGAGGTGGCTCGGGGAGAGGTGGCTCGGGGAGAGGTGGCTCAGGGAGAGGTGGCTCAGGGAGAGAGTGACCTTCCTCTATCTGATTTGCGAAGTGAAAATCATGAAGCTGATCCTCCTCCATGGTACTGGAGCTTAGATTACTAAGTTAAAGGATCTAAGGAATAATAACAACTATGCACTTGAGACGTAAGAACATCATTAGGCTGTAATGTTCAGTTAGTCTAAAATACTCATTTATTTGAATTGAAACGCAGTCATTATGTGATGGATAATTTATACATTATATGATGTACATTGCTGCGATTTTATTGAATAATATAGTCATTATGAGATATAATGCAATTATAAAGCGTATAATACAGTAATTAAGTGAAGAAGAAAACAATCATTACCTGAAGTGCATGTTGAGGAGGGTAGTGGAGCCGGGCGCGCCCTGGGGCCGGTGGACCAACACCTCCAGCCTGTAGCAACACAACTGGTCAGTCTCCCCACCTCCCTAACACCCCAGGTGCCTGTGAGGGCACGAGAGTCCAGGTGTCTGTGAGGGCACGAGAGTCCAGGTGTCTGTGAGGGCACGAGAGTCCAGGTGTCTGTGAGGGCACGAGAGTCCAGGTGTCTGTGAGGGCACGAGAGTCCAGGTGTCTGTGAGGGCACGAGAGTCCAGGTGTCAGTGAGGGCACGAGAGTCCAGGTGTCAGTGAGGACAGGGGAGTCCAGGTGTCTGTGAGGGCAGAAGAGTCTAGGTGTCTCTTAGGGCAGGAGAGTCCAGGTGTCTCTTAGGGCAGGAGAGTCCAGGTGTCTGTGAGGGCACGAGAGTCCAGGTGTCTGTGAGGGCAGGAGAGTCCAGGTGTCTGTGAGGGCAGGAGAGTCCAGGTGTCTGTGAGGGCAGGAGAGTCCAGGTGTCTGTGAGGGCAGGAGAGTCCAGGTGTCTGTGAGGGCAGGAGAGTCCAGGTGTCTGTGAGGGCACGAGAGTCCAGGTGTCTGTGAGGGCACGAGAGTCCAGGTGTCTGTGAGGGCACGAGAGTCCAGGTGTCTGTGAGGGCACGAGAGTCCAGGTGTCTGTGAGGGCACGAGAGTCCAGGTGTCTGTGAGGGCACGAGAGTCCAGGTGTCTGTGAGGGCACGAGAGTCCAGGTGTCTGTGAGGGCACGAGAGTCCAGGTGTCTGTGAGGGCACGAGAGTCCAGGTGTCTGTGAGGGCACGAGAGTCCAGGTGTCTGTGAGGGCACGAGAGTCCAGGTGTCTGTGAGGGCACGAGAGTCCAGGTGTCTGTGAGGGCACGAGAGTCCAGGTGTCTGTGAGGGCACGAGAGTCCAGGTGTCTGTGAGGGCACGAGAGTCCAGGTGTCTGTGAGGGCACGAGAGTCCAGGTGTCTGTGAGGGCACGAGAGTCCAGGTGTCAGTGAGGGCACGAGAGTCCAGGTGTCAGTGAGGGCACGAGAGTCCAGGTGTCTGTGAGGACAGGGGAGTCCAGGTGTCTGTGAGGGCAGAAGAGTCTAGGTGTCTCTTAGGGCAGGAGAGTCCAGGTGTCTGTGAGGGCAGGAGAGTCCAGGTGTCTGTGAGGGCAGAAGAGTCTAGGTGTCTGTGAGGGCAGGAGAGTCCAGGTGTCTGTGAGGGCAGGAGAGTCTAGGTGTCTGTGAGGGCAGGAGAGTCCAGGTGTCTGTGAGGGCACGAGAGTCCAGGTGTCTGTGAGGGCAGGAGAGTCTAGGTGTCTGTGAGGGCAGGAGAGTCCAGGTGTCTGTGAGGGCACGAGAGTCCCGGTGTCTGTGAGGGCACGAGAGTCCAGGTGTCTGTGAGGGCACGAGAGTCCAGGTGTCTGTGAGGGCACGAGAGTCCAGGTGTCTGTGAGGGCACGAGAGTCCAGGTGTCTGTGAGGGCACGAGAGTCCAGGTGTCTGTGAGGGCACGAGAGTCCAGGTGTCTGTGAGGGCACGAGAGTCCAGGTGTCTGTGAGGGCACGAGAGTCCAGGTGTCTGTGAGGGCACGAGAGTCCAGGTGTCTGTGAGGGCACGAGAGTCCAGGTGTCTGTGAGGGCACGAGAGTCCAGGTGTCAGTGAGGGCACGAGAGTCCAGGTGTCAGTGAGGGCACGAGAGTCCAGGTGTCTGTGAGGACAGGGGAGTCCAGGTGTCTGTGAGGGCAGAAGAGTCTAGGTGTCTGTTAGGGCACGAGAGTCCAGGTGTCTGTGAGGGCACGAGAGTCCAGGTGTCTGTGAGGACAGGGGAGTCCAGGTGTCTGTGAGGACAGGGGAGTCCAGGTGTCTGTGAGGGCAGAAGAGTCTAGGTGTCTGTTAGGGCAGGAGAGTCCAGGTGTCTGTGAGGGCAGGAGAGTCCAGGTGTCTGTGAGGGCAGAAGAGTCTAGGTGTCTGTGAGGGCAGGAGAGTCCAGGTGTCTGTGAGGGCACGAGAGTCCAGGTGTCTGTGAGGGCAGGAGAGTCCAGGTGTCTGTGAGGGCAGGAGAGTCCAGGTGTCTGTGAGGGCAGGAGAGTCCAGGTGTCTGTGAGGGCAGGTGAGTCCGGGTGTCTGTGAGGGCAGAAGAGTCCAAGTGTCTGTGAGGGCAGGTGAGTCCGGGTGTCTGTGAGGGCAGAAGAGTCCAAGTGTCTGTGAGGGCAGGAGAGTCCAGGTGTCTGTGAGGGCAGGAGAGTCCAGGTGTCTGTGAGGGCAGGAGAGTCCAGGTGTCTGTGAGGGCAGGAGAGTCCAGGTGTCTGTGAGGGCAGGAGAGTCCAGGTGTCTGTGAGGGCAGGAGAGTCCAAGTGTCTGTGAGGGTAGGAGAGTCCAAGTGTCTGTGAAGGCAGGAGGGAGGAGACTGCAGGAAGTGTCTGGGAGGGAAGGAATGTGCAGGAGGTGTCTGTGATAACATGATAACAGTAAGGGCTGTGATAACATGATAGCATTAAGGGCTGTGATAACATGATGCACTTGTCGTCTGTCGTCACAATACAAGAATATCAAGCAAGTTAGCTGTGTTGTCGTAAATCTGCATATATTACCTCACCCAAGTGGGTAGGACTTGGCATATGCTACATATGTCAAGGTTGAAGGTTCTGAGCCCATTATGTGCCTCTGTGATCTTTCCCATTACTATCCACAAGATGGTCATGGTGCATATTAAATGAACTAAAATAACTACTTTGAATTGGAAGATACGATCAAATGACAGTCAAATGACACAGGTGTTTATGTCTATTGCAAGTCTTTCCTTGAGTAGAGTCTGATATGAAGAAGTGTTAGGTTTCTTGCCTGAGGTTGACCTTTGGCCAGACTCTCACTCAGTCTCGATAGCAATTTGCAGAATTACTTCTGGCACACCCACTGTAAAATTCCCACTTGAAGACGATGAGTCACAATAACGGAGTCACAATAACGGAGTCACAATAACGGAGCAGAAGAAATGATGACCAAACCACAACTCAGAAGATGGAGAAGCGACGACGTTTCGGTCCGTAGTGGACCATTATCAAGTCGTGTGATGACTTCATAAAACTTCGTAATGGTACACGACGGACCGATACATCGTCGCTTCTCCATATTCTGAGTTGTGGTTTGGTCATCATTTCTCAGTAAAGTTGAGTGATATTTCAGGGTGGCTTACCCAGTGTTAACCTGAGGAAACTGTATTTACTAACAACTGTTATTAACTGTTACTTAGACAAAATGAGTAAGTGGAGAAGAATTTTGTGTCCCTACTCTTCAAGTATGAAGAGACCGTTTGAAAATTATCTGGTGAGTAATCAAACAAAGAAAAAGAGCCGGAGTGAAAAGACAACACCTGAAGACCATATACCTGGATAAGTATTTGCTAAATACATTATTCATGATGTGGTTTACACCCAAAATAAGAAACACGACAGCAGGAAGGTGTCCCACCCTCAGGAGCGCGTCCGGGGGTAACATTATCTAACATTATAACCCACTCTTGTGGAGCACCTGCAACACTCTTGTGGAGCACTAGCCTTTGCAACACTTGTGGAGCACCAGCCTCTGCAACACTTGTGGAGCACCAGCCTCTGCAACACTTGTGGAGCACCAGCCTCTGCAACACTCTTGTGGAGCACCAGCCTCTGCAACACTCTTGTGGAGCACCAGCCTCTGCAACACTCTTGTGGAGCACCAGCCTCTGCAACACTCTTGTGGAGCACCAGCCTCTGCAACACTCCTGTGGAGCACCAGCCTCTGCAACACTCCTGTGGAGCACCAGCCTCTGCAACACTCCTGTGGAGCACCAGCCTCTGCAACACTCCTGTGGAGCACCAGCCTCTGCAACACTCCTGTGGAGCACCAGCCTCTGCAACACTCCTGTGGAGCACCAGCCTCTGCAACACTCCTGTGGAGCACCAGCCTCTGCAACACTCCTGTGGAGCACCAGCCTCTGCAACACTCTTGTGGAGCACCAGCCTCTGCAACACTCTTGTGGAGCACCAGCCTCTGCAACACTCTTGTGGAGCACCAGCCTCTGCAACACTCTTGTGGAGCACCAGCCTCTGCAACACTCTTGTGGAGCACCAGCCTCTGCAACACTCTTGTGGAGCACCAGCCTCTGCAACACTCTTGTGGAGCACCAGCCTCTGCAACACTCTTGTGGAGCACCAGCCTCTGCAACACTCTTGTGGAGCACCAGCCTCTGCAACACTCTTGTGGAGCACCAGCCTCTGCAACACTCTTGTGGAGCACCAGCCTCTGCAACACTCTTGTGGAGCACCAGCCTCTGCAACACTCTTGTGGAGCACCAGCCTCTGCAACACTCTTGTGGAGCACCAGCCTCTGCAACACTCTTGTGGAGCACCAGCCTCTGCAACACTCTTGTGGAGCACCAGCCTCTGCAACACTCTTGTGGAGCACCAGCCTCTGCAACACTCTTGTGGAGCACCAGCCTCTGCAACACTCTTGTGGAGCACCAGCCTCTGCAACACTCTTGTGGAGCACCAGCCTCTGCAACACTCTTGTGGAGCACCAGCCTCTGCAACACTCTTGTGGAGCACCAGCCTCTGCAACACTCTTGTGGAGCACCAGCCTCTGCAACACTCTTGTGGAGCACCAGCCTCTGCAACACTCTTGTGGAGCACCAGCCTCTGCAACACTCTTGTGGAGCACCAGCCTCTGAAACACTCTTGTGGAGCACCAGCCTCTGAAACACTCTTGTGGAGCACCAGCCTCTGCAACACTCTTGTGGAGCACCAGCCTCTGCAACACTCTTGTGGAGCACCAGCCTCTGCAACACTCTTGTGGAGCACCAGCCTCTGCAACACTCTTGTGGAGCACCAGCCTCTGCAACACTCTTGTGGAGCACCAGCCTCTGCAACACTCTTGTGGAGCACTAGCCTCTGCAACACTCTTGTGGAGCACTAGCCTCTGCAACACTCTTGTGGAGCACTAGCCTCTGCAACACTCTTGTGGAGCACTAGCCTCTGCAACACTCTTGTGGAGCACTAGCCTCTGCAACACTCTTGTGGAGCACTAGCCTCTGCAACACTCTTGTGGAGCACTAGCCTCTGCAACACTCTTGTGGAGCACTAGCCTCTGCAACACTCTTGTGGAGCACTAGCCTCTGCAACACTCTTGTGGAGCACTAGCCTCTGCAACACTCTTGTGGAGCACTAGCCTCTGCAACACTCTTGTGGAGCACTAGCCTCTGCAACACTCTTGTGGAGCACTAGCCTCTGCAACACTCTTGTGGAGCACTAGCCTCTGCAACACTCTTGTGGAGCACTAGCCTCTGCAACACTTGTGGAGCACTAGCCTCTGCAACACTTGTGGAGCACTAGCCTCTGCAACACTTGTGGAGCACTAGCCTCTGCAACACTTGTGGAGCACTAGCCTCTGCAACACTCTTGTGGAGCACTAGCCTCTGCAACACTCTTGTGGAGCACTAGCCTCTGCAACACTCTTGTGGAGCACTAGCCTCTGCAACACTCTTGTGGAGCACTAGCCTCTGCAACACTCTTGTGGAGCACTAGCCTCTGCAACACTCTTGTGGAGCACTAGCCTCTGCAACACTCTTGTGGAGCACTAGCCTCTGCAACACTCTTGTGGAGCACTAGCCTCTGCAACACTCTTGTGGAGCACTAGCCTCTGCAACACTCTTGTGGAGCACTAGCCTCTGCAACACTCTTGTGGAGCACTAGCCTCTGCAACACTCTTGTGGAGCACTAGCCTCTGCAACACTCTTGTGGAGCACTAGCCTCTGCAACACTCTTGTGGAGCACTAGCCTCTGCAACACTCTTGTGGAGCACTAGCCTCTGCAACACTCTTGTGGAGCACTAGCCTCTGCAACACTCTTGTGGAGCACTAGCCTCTGCAACACTCTTGTGGAGCACTAGCCTCTGCAACACTCTTGTGGAGCACTAGCCTCTGCAACACTCTTGTGGAGCACTAGCCTCTGCAACACTCTTGTGGAGCACTAGCCTCTGCAACACTCTTGTGGAGCACTAGCCTCTGCAACACTCTTGTGGAGCACTAGCCTCTGCAACACTCTTGTGGAGCACTAGCCTCTGCAACACTCTTGTGGAGCACTAGCCTCTGCAACACTCTTGTGGAGCACTAGCCTCTGCAACACTCTTGTGGAGCACTAGCCTCTGCAACACTCTTGTGGAGCACTAGCCTCTGCAACACTCTTGTGGAGCACTAGCCTCTGCAACACTCTTGTGGAGCACTAGCCTCTGCAACACTCTTGTGGAGCACTAGCCTCTGCAACACTCTTGTGGAGCACTAGCCTCTGCAACACTCTTGTGGAGCACTAGCCTCTGCAACACTCTTGTGGAGCACTAGCCTCTGCAACACTCTTGTGGAGCACTAGCCTCTGCAACACTCTTGTGGAGCACTAGCCTCTGCAACACTCTTGTGGAGCACCAGCCTCTGCAACACTCTTGTGGAGCACCAGCCTCTGCAACACTCTTGTGGAGCACCAGCCTCTGCAACACTCTTGTGGAGCACCAGCCTCTGCAACACTCTTGTGGAGCACCAGCCTCTGCAACACTCTTGTGGAGCACCAGCCTCTGCAACACTCTTGTGGAGCACCAGCCTCTGCAACACTCTTGTGGAGCACCAGCCTCTGCAACACTCTTGTGAGCACCAGCCTCTGCAACACTCTTGTGGAGCACCAGCCTCTGCAACACTCTTGTGGAGCACTAGCCTCTGCAACACTCTTGTGGAGCACTAGCCTCTGCAACACTCTTGTGGAGCACTAGCCTCTGCAACACTCTTGTGGAGCACTAGCCTCTTCAACACTTGTGGAGCACCAGCCTCTGCAACACTCTTGTGGAGCACCAGCCTCTGCAACACTTGTGGAGCACCAGCCTCTGCAACACTTGTGGAGCACCAGCCTCTGCAACACTTGTGGAGCACCAGCCTCTGCAACACTTGTGGAGCACCAGCCTCTGCAACACTTGTGGAGCACCAGCCTCTGCAACACTTGTGGAGCACCAGCCTCTGCAACACTTGTGGAGCACCAGCCTCTGCAACACTTGTGGAGCACCAGCCTCTGCAACACTTGTGGAGCACTAGCCTCTGCAACACTCTTGTGGAGCACTAGCCTCTGCAACACTTGTGGAGCACTAGCCTCTGCAACACTTGTGGAGCACTAGCCTCTGCAACACTTGTGGAGCACTAGCCTCTGCAACACTCTTGTGGAGCACTAGCCTCTGCAACACTTGTGGAGCACTAGCCTCTGCAACACTGACAATACATACAGATAAAACGGCACACCGCTAGGTTGACACTATTGCTATCTTGCTGTAGTAATAACTAGGCAAGATCAGCTAGCTAAGAACCCACCAACCATACTAGGAACCCACCAACCAGGCTATAGGAACTCACCCAACCAGGCTATAGGAACCCACCCAACCAGGCTATAGGAACCCACCAACCAGGCTAGGAACCCACCCAACCAGGCTAGGAACCCATCAACCAGGCTAGG